AAAAAAAAAAAAAACGAAAAACTGGTCAAACAATTCAAACCAAACTGATTCGGGTCGGTTCAACACAGGTAATTGATTTGGTTTGATTTTCTTTTAAACAAAATTATAGTGGGTCGATTCAATCATAGTTTGAAATCTAAAACTATTGGTTTAATCGAACCAACCTAACCCACTTATATTTTTTTTAATCAAAAGATAAGTCATAATCTCATGACTATATTTTGATTCCCTCCAATATATGATGGTACCAGTAAATAATAGTACTGAAAATTTCTTTTCGCAAGCTCATTATATTAAGTAATTTTCCCTACTTAGGCAGTCAGATTACACAATACATAGAAAAACAACAAAACTTTTAAGTTTTCTGTTGATCTATCTATATTAATCTGATTTATTTGTTAGTCAATATTTCTTAAAATATAAAATTATTTGATTATTTTAGTTCTTGTGATTTAAGTGGGCCCAAAACTTGAACAATTTTTTTTTTTAAATCAATTTGGACTAAAAGTTCAAACCGATTAACTGAACCGAACCGAACTTTAAAAGGTATAGTGGGTTGGTTTGAGTTGAAATTCATCCAAATCGACTAATTTGGTTTTGATTATAGGATGTAGTCGAAATCTACCCAAGTCAAACCACGTCCAAGCCTAATTTTATGAATATATGTCCCTATTTGATCCCCATTTTTCAAAATTCATTTTTTTCATACTCATTTTCAATCATTATAATAAAATAATTTTACACATAAATTTAGATTTTTCCCTATTTCTCAATCGTACATTCTCTTGAGAAATAACTTCTTCTTTTTTTGTCAAAATATACTCTCAAGATAAATTGGATATTTAACCTATAAAATGGGTGTTTAAACTAAAATATAATTAAAAAAAGCCTATATATTTCAACAATTAGAATTCTTGGAAAAATATCCCAATAAGGATACATTGATCCCATATTTTTCCTTTTCCTTTTCAAAGGCTAGTAACCTTTTAACAAAAGCTTATTGGTGCAAACCCCCTATTAGACATGATGAGTAAAATTTCACACATATTAAAATTGGCGCAAAAGGTCCATTTTTGAAACTTTAATTTTGTTTTACCCTTTATCGTCCTATTTCGTCGGTTCTACTACTAATTCCTAATAAGAAAAGTGCTACATGTACATAACTGTCTACATAATGGTATCCATAATTACACGTGACATTTAATTCAACCTTTAATTCTAATCTCTCACTTACACATCAATAATTGGATGATTGTCACATCACATTATGGACAACATTATGTGCAATAATTATGTACAAGTAGAATTTTGCTCATAATAAATATGGAAAAGTAAAAGAACAGAAAGGGCAAGACCGTCATTCCTTCTTCTTTAACGAGGGTTATAAACCAACATATGGATGTTTTGCGCAAGAAAGGTAGAGTCACATAGGCAAGAAATCTAGTTGCAAACCCATGATCGAGATTTGATTCTCCTTCACCCATGACTGTAGCGATTTCGTTTACCACATCTGGTCCAACAACTGAAATTCTACAATAATGGTTTGAAACAGTAAGTAGTAGACCCGGGTTTGAATTTCGAACTTATGCTTAAAAATTTTGAAATAGATTCTTAAAATTAGTTCATTTTTTGTTATGTTTGCAATATTCTATTGTGATTATAGAGAATGTATGCTCCAAGACTTAGATTTTGCAATATGGTAAGTTTTCCCATTTTGGCGATTTCAAAATGAATTTTTTTTGTTCAAATTTTGTACATGTTCTTGTTGGAATTTTGTTCTAAAACGTGTGTGCATGTTAATTGCTGTGGGTGTTGAAGTGCTTCCTATACTAATCCATTTTTGTCATGTTGATTCAATCGGATATACAAAATACTTAACAATGGTCATACAGTGGGGTGTATTCTTCGATAAGTCAAATAATGTGTAGTATGAACACGGTACGATGATGTTTGTGGACTTTGTGAAGCCTAAGTGTTTCAATAGCGATTAGCTCGAGGCTATTGTGCATGTGTTGTTGGAAGAATTTTGTGAATAGAGACGCCAAAAATAAGTATAAAGATAGGGACAAAGCCGAGGCAAGAGTTGGACTCTTTGTCCTTAAGTCGAATTTGCCCCGCTACGGTGCCTACGGATTTCGGCAATCGACTCCCAAGATACAACGGCTACACTTGTGTTTGTAGCACTCCAAAACACAAGTACAACGAACCAAATTTAGGCTTATGTACTCCAAGGATGAAATGAAAGAAAATCAAAATAAATGAATGATTTTGATTTTGGATAGAAGAGAGGATGAGAGACGTTTTGCATATCAAACTGTGAGGAATAGGACACCCAAAGGGTCCTATTTATAGACCATGAAAGGGTGTGGACGAAATGGTTGGGGCCAAACCATGCACCCTTTCCAAACAATGCACCACCTTTATGAAAAGGTGTCTATTCACTGATTTTCGTCCTTTTTTGTAATTTCTTTTTTTATCCGATTTTGATTTTCGAAATGACAAATATACCCTTCAATACATGCAGAAAAATCAAAATTCTCGTTTGTGCGCCCCGAAGCGGCGAAGTGGCAAACAATTTTGCTTAAACGGATTGAGTCGAGCTTTTGAGTATTTGG